GCCCACTCTTTACTTCTCACGTGGCATGTGTAGCCCTGCTCACTGCGCAGTCCAGATTTAGCTCACCAATAGTGGTCAAGTTTACCACACAAAATGTTGCTTAGAAACATAACTGATATCCTGCCTTTATGAGGTTTCCAGGGAAACCATGCTAGAAGGTTAGCCAGAGGTAATTTTTATGGAGAGAAAAGGTTTTGTTAACCCTTTACTCAATTTATTAACAAAATAAATGGAAAAATTTGTATAAATCTTGCTTTGGAACCTACTGTGGACTGTATCAGAGACACTATTCATTTACATCAACTATCATAGCATCTGGGATAATTTCAGCAAATTTAGTAAATAAAAATTCTTCCTATGTTAATTTTGCTTGTCCTAGTTCCCTGATGATAAAGACTAGGGAGCAGAAATTATTGGCAAGTTGGGTTAAGTAAAAATAAGGCAGTCAGTGAATGGAAAGACAAGTAGACAATCCAGAACAGTTTTTATTAACCTGTCTTTAAAATTGACTTCCATTAGATGTTTCTCAAAATGAATTGGCATTTATTCTGACTCTCACAGTTTAACAATCCATTGTAAGATAATGTTTGTTTATCACTAAGTCATTTAGTTAAGGCGATGTTTCAGGAATGCTTTGTGGAAAACTGCAAGATGAATATTTTCCCTAACCAATAATGGTCTCAAATATGCAATTTTTCTTATATCCACTTGTAAACATATATGTCCAGTGCTCAGAACACAGTTATGCTTACTTAGAAGTGGAGAGAAATCTGGATTGAGGAGAAGTTTAATAATTCAGATATGTTACTGGATTTTTTTTTTTTTTTAATTTTACTCTTGAGTATATATAAAGTGTTATACTACCCAGTAGGGAATGCAGTAGTGAAAAAACACACATAGCTTCTGGTCTATTTAAATTCAATATTGTATGTTCAAATTAGAAACTAAAGAGGCTACTTAAAACAATTATTTTTCAGTTTGAATAATTGAAAATTTTAACTGTATAGATTGTGTGTGTGTGTGTGTGTGTGTGTGTGTGTGTGTGTATGCGTGTGGTTTGAATTTCAAAATATGCCTTAACTAGATATTAGAAGCTTTGTATTTTATCTAGTGTTGCAATAGGTTTTTTTCTAGTCATTGATACACATTTTGTTTGATTTGAAAATTGATAATTCCTGGAATTATCTGGGTTATAGAAATGCTTTACCATGTCCTTTTCAAATTTTCAGATTTTATTTTTTTTTATAGTTCTGTGGTAAATTCTGATTTGATGTTAACTTGAGCAGAACACAGTAAAGAATGTAGTAGTACAGCCAGAAATACTTGGTCATAAAAGTAAATAAAATTAATATATCTATAGCATTTATAAATGCTTCTTAAAACTTCATTTGATATTACAGGCATTTTAAGTTCTCATTCTACTGAAAAAATAATTCAGACTGGAAATAAGTGATAAACCCAAGATTATTCTGCAAATATGTATATGATAGCATAGACCAGTGGTCGGCAAACTGTGGCTTGCAAGTCACATGCGGCTCTTTGACCCTTTGAGTGTGGCTCTTCTTTAAAATACCATGTCCTGGGCTAGTCTATTTTGAATAAATGGCGTTAGAAGAAGTTTAAGTTTAAAAACTTTGGCTCTCAAAAGAAATTTCAATCGTTGTACTGTTGATATTTGGCTCTATTGTCTAATGAGTTTGCCGACCACTGGCTGGAGACTTTAAGGCTGATGGGATTTTTGTGGCTTTTCCCCTTACTATGTTGCCAAAAAGTGATGTTTGAGTTAACCATCTCTCTGATACTTCTCAAAAATGATGGGCCTGATTATGAAAAAAATAAATAAGTAAAAATTTTCACTAAAGAAATATATTAAATAATTTACTTTTGAAATGTTACAGTTCTCTAGTATATTTATATTTTACATCCCAAACCTTGTTAATCCTAATTATTACACAAAATTCTTTTATCTTGTTGTATATGGTTAATGCCAGTGTGTTTCCTGTGTACATATAAAAATCACTCAGATATTGCTTATAATTTAAAAAATAAAATAAAATAAGTAAATGTTAGGTCAAATGTTTAAGTGACCTGATGTGTTGTTGAGAATTACCCATAACAACAAATGGATATAGAGAATAGCCCTGTCTACTTTAAATTATTGGTAAATAACAGTTATAGATTGTGAAAGGCCTTTTTTGTTGACCTGGAACAATGATTCAGTATTTACTGTAATTGGCTTACTCTTTTAGTCTGATTTTTAACTAGTTCTGACACCTAGTGGTCAGGTATTGGTTCTATAGCTTTTAGGTTTGGGTTTTTATTTACCTGACATACCTGCTATCCTCTAGTATAGTGCTCATTGTAATTAAACTTGCTTCAACTGGGTGGCAGTATTGATTTCAGAGAAACTTCAGAAAAATACGATGTCCAGAGTCATTTGAACAAGAATTCAAATTTAAAATCTGTTTAACAAAATAGTAAATATGTTTCGTGAAATAATAATGAAAAATTGAATCTGTTAAATTATCTAACTCATCTTTATAGCCATTCTAACTATATTTTGTATTTCTGTAGTGTTTAAACCTAACAAGATAAAATTAAAATTTATTAGCTTATGGCTACAGTACAGTTTTAAAAATTAGTCATTAATAATTATGTATCAAATGTAAGAGTGGCTTCTTTCTGATAGTTTGTTAGTAAAAGAGAATTTAATGTCTTTTAAAATTTGGTAAATATATAAGAAAAATTGTAATGTATCTTACCTCTTGCCATTTTAAGACAACATGCATATATTTTTTATTTGATTAAAAAGTTGACTTTTGATAGCTTTTTACTGAGTTTTCTTTTTATCAGTTGTATTTTTCAGCAATATTTAAAAAAATTTTGTCTCTAATAAGTCACTTTCTTAATTTTTCTCTGGTTCTCAAAGAGAATTTCTTTTTCTTTTACACTTATTCCCCAAGTATTTATGGCTTTATCAATATAGCATAGCAATCAGTGTTGACTCACTGGTATGAAATTGCAATAAGGACTATATAAAATATTTTACATGTTTTGTTATATTAGTAATCTGAAATTTCTTTTTAATCATATGGGAAAGACAAAATATTACTTTTTTTCTGAAAATAATAAAATATTAGAAATGAATGGTTAATTTAAATAAATTATTTTCTAAGTTTAGCTGTGAAAACGTCCGGGTAGAGAGGAAAATATTTTATTTTTCTTGTTCTGGTTTGTTTAATTATATTTTTTTCTACAATGTAAAAAAATATTGACAATATTATGTCAGATTGGTCTTGATAGGTTAGAATCTGTTAACTATCTCAGATTTGCCTTCAAACTATCTCAGTAATACTATAGAATTCCAAAATCTGTTGTGTTTCTATGCACTAATAAACTATCAGAGAAATTCTGAAAAAAAATCCAATTTTTAATATCATCAAAAAGAGGAAGATGTCTAGGAATCAGTTTAACCAAGGAGGTGAAATACCAGTATACTGAAAATTAGAAGACATTAAATGAAAGAAATTGAAGAAGACACAATTAAGTGAAAAGCTACTCTATACTCATAGGTTGGAAGAATTAATATTAACATGTTCATACTACCCAAAGCAAACTACATACTTAATATTGAGTTTGTATCAAAATCCAATGGCATTTTTACAGAAATAGAACAATTTATCCTAAAGTTTTTATAGAACCATAAAAGACCCCAAGTAGCCAAAGCAATCTTTAGTAAGGAAAAACAAAGTGGGAGGTATCACTCTTCCTGATTTCAAACTGTATTACAAAACTGTAGCAATCAAAACAGTATTGCATTGGCACACCAATCAGTGGAACGAATAGGAGCCCAGAAATAAACCCACGCATACATGGTCAATTAATTTACAACAAAGAAGCTAAGAATATAATGGGAAAGGACAATCTCATCAATAAATGGTGCTGGATCACTATCTTACCATGCGTAAAAGTTAACTCAAATTGAAGTAAAGACTTTAATGTAAGACCTAATATTACCAAACTCTTAGAAAGAAAACAGTGCCAAGCTCCTTAATATAAGTTTTCGTAATGGTTTTTTGGATCTACACTAAAAGCAAAGGCAACAATAGCAAAAATAAACAAATGGGAGTATATCAAATTTAAAAGCTTCTGAACAACAAAGGAAACCATCAACAAAATGAAAAGAAAACCTTTAAAGGGGAGAGAATATTTGCAAATCATATGTCTGATAAAGGTTCAATATCCAAAATATATAAAAACCTCATATAAATCAGTAGCTAAAAAATAAAATAAGAGGGCAGAATGTCTGAATAAACATTTTTCCAAAGAAGATGTACAGATGGCCAATAGGTACATGAAAACACTACTCATCAGGAAAACGCAAATCAAATCAATGAGGTACCGCCTCATACCTGTTAAAATGCTAGCATAACAAACACAAGAAATAACAAATGTTAGTAAGGATGTGGAGAAAGGGAAACATTGTTCAGAGTGGGTGGGATGTTAATTGGTACAGCCACCATGGAAACAGAATGGAGGCTCCTCAGAAAATTAAAAATAGAACTATAATATGACCCAGCAATTCCATTTCTTGCTGTTTATCTGAAGAAAACGAAAATATAGCCACTCCACTTATACTTATCCCTGTGCCTCCCTGTTCCTTCATATAAAAAAAAATTGGGAACATGGAACCAACTTATTTTTCTATCAAATCAAGGATGAATGAAAGTATCTGGCAATAAATGCTAGTAAGCACATTTCACAAAATGAATATAGTTTGATGACTATGATAGCACTGGAGGGAGAAAAGAGACTGTTGATAACAGAAGGAACAAGGGAAATTAGAGTAACCAGTTTTGTGGATGGATTGATGTAAGCTTCTAAGGATTCATCTAGTATTGAGATTTATATGGATCATGGGTCTAACCTTAAGAGAGATGTGTTAGATTACTGATAATGTGTCTCTGTTTTTTTCTTTAGGACACTTACAGAGAGCTACAATGGAAAAGTCCTGGATGCTGTGGAACTTTGTTGAAAGATGGCTAATAACCTTGGCCTCCTGGTCTTGGGCTCTCTGCCGAATTTCTCTCTTACCTTTAATAGTGACTTTTCATCTGTACGGAGGCATTATCTTACTTTTGTTAATAGTCATATCAATAGCAGGCATTCTATATAAATTCCAGGATGTATTGCTTTATTTTCCAGAACAGCCATCTTCCTCACGCCTTTATGTTCCCATGCCCACTGGTATTCCACATGAGAACATTTTTATCAGAACCAAAGATGGAGTGCGTCTGAATCTTATTTTGGTAAGATATACTGGAGACAATTCACCCTATTCTCCAACCATAATTTATTTTCATGGGAATGCAGGCAACATAGGTCACAGGTTACCAAATGCATTGCTTATGTTGGTTAACCTCAAAGTTAATCTTTTGCTTGTTGATTATCGAGGATATGGGAAAAGCGACGGAGAAGCAAGTGAAGAAGGACTCTACTTAGATTCTGAAGCTGTGCTAGACTATGTGATGACTAGACCTGACCTTGACAAAACAAAAATTTTTCTTTTTGGTCGTTCCTTGGGAGGAGCAGTGGCTATTCATTTGGCTTCTGAAAATTCACATAGGATTTCAGCTATTATGGTGGAGAACACATTTTTAAGCATACCACATATGGCCAGGACTTTATTTTCATTTTTTCCAATGCGTTACCTTCCTTTATGGTGCTACAAAAATAAATTTTTGTCCTACAGAAAAATTTCTCAGTGCAGAATGCCTTCTCTTTTCATCTCTGGACTCTCTGACCAGTTAATTCCACCAGTAATGATGAAGCAGCTTTATGAACTCTCCCCATCTCGGACTAAGAGATTAGCCATTTTTCCTGATGGAACTCATAATGACACATGGCAATGCCAGGGTTACTTCACTAGCCTTGAACAGTTCATCAAAGAAGTGATAAAGAGTCATTCTCCTGAAGAAATGGCAAAAACTTCATCGAATGTGACAATTATATAATGTTTTTCTATTGCACTGTATTTTAATTATTGCAGAATGATAAAGAATGTTCCTTTCTAGAAGTGTGTTATATCTGTACTTGTCTGAAGAGTGACATTAAATATTGAAAGGACTTTAGTGCTCTTTAAAGATGATCCAAATAGTTTTTTACATTTAAAAAACTATAATTGTTGGGATTATTTCATACATTTTCATCAAATGTTTCAATGTGTTTATGTGTCTGTATCTTTAGTTAATATGACAGAAGAATATATTCAAAAGTTTCTTGTTGCTAAAGTGTTATACTCTATATGATACTTAAGATTAATGGCTGGGTGTGGAAGGGGAGATATAAATGAGAAACCTTTGGATATTATTCCTTTAGTAAATATTGGGACAATCATGGTATATAAGCTTAGTTCTGTAACTGCATTTTTCACCTTAAAATAAAGTGCATGATGATGTTTTATTTCTTGAATTATGCAATGCAATGTTTTTAATGTAAATAGCACTGGTTATATACCAATGTATATGGTAACCTGGGTTATATCTATTTTTATGTAAACTATTTTGGTTTTGGCAAGAAGTGAAATTGAGGCCTGTGTGCAGGTTGCTATTGAATTTTGCTCTGGCATATGCTGAGATTCAGCTTTTTCTTACAAATAAATGGGACCCCACTTTCCAACAAAAATGTACTGTGGTTTGTTAGGTATAGTCTGGATCATGGCATGCAAAAATAGAAATTTAGAATCTTACTGCAACTTCAGTGTGCATAATTGAACTTTTTTACATTTGTAGTTTTGGTGGCAAAGAGAATTTTACCTTTTATCAGTTTCATAAGTCTACAGGTAAACCACCAATGGCAGTCATAACTTGTTTAAAAATTAAAGTAGGAACCCTTATTACATAATTATATATACTGTTTTACAGAAATTTCCTCATTTGACTTTTAAGTCCCAGTATTTAGGTATATCTAACCCACTAAAGCCAAGGTGTCATTTATTGAACTTTCTGAAAATAAATACAACAAAAACAAAAAAGCTATGCTCTTTGGTTTAGTTATAATATTTAGTTATAAAATAGAATTGCAACAAAAGACAATTTTATACATGTAGGAATGTGGGGATGAAGGAATGCTACAACTTTTTTATCACAGAACATATTATACATTTAACTATTAATTGACTATCAGTGGGAAGTAGTACTTAGTCATATAGAAATGTATGAAAATTTTACTTAAAAAAAGGCTCTTTAAAATTGCAGGATTGACAAACACACATATATATAAGCTATGAGGCATAATTGTACTAAGTTGTGTCAAGCAGTCCTCAAAAATTAGATGTATTTGAGCTCTGTGCATTATGTCAGCTTTAGATGTAATATTTTGAATATTTTGGCTATATTTATTGGCTTCGTGCAAGCAGCTAGAACAGAGAAATTATGGGTCAATAGTTTTGACCTAAACTTAAAACTCTTTCTATGGAGATAGGGCTAGAAATACTTTTGCCAAATAACATTCGTCTCATTCACTTTATGTCAATGTTTAGAAAACAGTAAATTATAGCAAATATTATTAATGTTTTTCTATAAATTATTGTAAAAAAAAAGTCATGCTTTTAAAAACAAATTTGGTAATGCATATCATGGAAGGTGTATTTTGTATGTATAATTTCACTACAATTAAAGGATACTTTTCATCTTGTCAATCATGTAGAATGACTGTCTTAAATAGTAATGTATTAAAAGGAAAATATTTAATACAACAAAATCTATTGTATTTAGACATGAACTTACATGAAAAACCTTAGACTCGTATCATTCTTTAAAGTTTATAAAGTACCTTCTTATGTTTTCATATATTCATTTAGTCTACTACACTATGAAGGAATTTATCAAATTTAGTTGTAAATATGCTGATGAAGCCTAACAGCTTTTTCTTCATCAGTGTTTTGTTTTATGCTTTTTAAAATATTTCATTTTTATAAACAATCTTTTTTTCTTTTTAAGCCAGGACTTCAAAAGTTGTAAAGTACATGTATCCCACCCCTGTCTTCATTCCCTTTGGGTTAAGGAGCCTTTCTCCCTGCAGCAAAGGGAAGAGGCTGTTTCGAGGGCTGTAGTACCTGATTTCTACATTTGAGAAAATTTCTTTAGATAGGAAGAAATAGAAAACAAATTCAGTTCTTCAAATGTGTCTAACTTTCGGCCAAAGCATTTGGTGTTAATAAAATGTGAATTCTGAATGAGTCACTTTATTTTGGATTCACAGGTTTAGTGGGAATAGAAGTGTGTCCGTCTTGTGTATTAATTTCTGGCTTATCAAAGAGCAGCTATAAGAGTTTCTGAATGAATTTGAAGTTATTAAGCTGCAGTAAATTTTAAGTTATTAAGCTGCTGTAAATTGGGAAATATTATTTAAAAATGCAAGATATAATTTATTTAGATCAAAATCTGTTTGTTTTTTAAGGGATTATTGGGGAGAAATGGCAAAAGGGATCCTAAAAAGGGTATTGCAAAATATGGGGAAAATAATTTATAGAAGATAAAAGAATAATACTAATAGAACAGAAAGAGCAACAAAGTGAAAGGTTATGTATTAAATGTAGATCTAGGAAATAATTAACTGATGAGATTGGTGAAAAGGAAACCTAACAATGCAGAACAGTTAAACACCAAACATTTCTAACAAAGTGCCTGGAGCACCTAATATTGCCACTACCCTATACTTTTGCACTTTGGTTGTATGGTAGATATTTTCAATTTTGAATTTTTAAATATTTTTTTTTTACAATTTTGAATTTTTTAAATATTTTTTTTTATTGATTTCAGAGGGGAAGGTAGAGGGAGAGAGAGAGAAACAGCAATGATGAGAGAGAATCATTGATTGGCTGACTCCTGCATGCTCTCTACTGGGAATCTAGCCCACAACCTGGACATGTGCCCTTGACCAGTTTCGAACCGTGACCTGGTTCAAAAGTTGATGCTCAGCCATTGAGCTGCAATTCTGAATTTTGTTATAGGGCAGCTTACATTTACTTTTTCATGATAGGCTCTAGACACATGATAATTACCAAAGCTCCAGTTTTGGTAATGTGTCACTGGATTAATTATGTTGTAATATTTCTTAATGAGAATTCATACCACCTCATGCTTTCATATTTATTTCTTAAAGTTTGAAAGATTTGGTTTGAGGTGGGAATAGATTTGTTTGGTGGAATTAAAGAGTGAAGGCCATATTCAATTTTATGTTATTTTGCAAGCTCAGATTAAGTGTAGAAGTGTAGTTTTTATTTAGTTCCTTGTTTTCTTGAGATTGTCACAGAAGACACTTTTTAAATTAGGTCATAGTTGAAATCTTTCACTGACCACCTCCCTTTCTGTTTCTCCTATTATATTTGACAACAATTAATGGGTTAAAAAAAATTAGATGCTTTTGGATTATCCACTTAAATTTATGTATTTTCATATCACTCAGGTAAAGTTGAGAATGACAGAGCACAGACATCTATTTTTTAAATAATAGGATAGAAAAAGCATTCCTGTTTATATTAACCATGTATGTACATCATCTTAGCTAATTAAAAATAATATATTCACTTGTATTGCAAAATAATGCATTCATCCAAATAGTAGTCAACATGTTTTTACCAAATGGCACAAATATATTTCCATTTATATTTTGTATCTTAAAAATATAGTCTAAAGTAAGACAGTGGATAAGAGACATTTTTTTTTTTTTAACAACAAGTACCATATATTCATATGAAACAGGGAGGAGTGTGTATTATTTTATAACATTTTCTGTCAGTACAGCATATACTTAAATTCAAGTTGCTTTCAACCTTTTTAAGTATGTTCAGGATAAAGTAATCCAATTTCATAATGTAAATCATTTTTGTTGCCATATTTTATTTGAAGAAGTAATAAAATTTTTAGCTTAAATTTGAATGTTATGTGCTAACCATGGCAAGCCAACATTTACATTTGTTTTTTATAATAAATTTCTTTTAAAATATACTTTCTATTTTTCTGTACTGACATGCAATAAATTTATACATTGAAAGTTTGATTAATGTCTTAAAATATTTTGTATTCAGTTTAAAAAATATTTTCTATTAACCTAAGTTATATGGTAGGGCATTAAAGTTTTCTTAATGGTTAAATAAAATTCTGAATATATATTGAAATTAATTTATTATAATGATGGTGTGGATAGGAAATAGTTTGTTCTCTTTTCTCATACCCTCTTGCATCCATTTAATTTAAGCTAATACTAAATATTTTCTACATATGAATCACTGGTGAATGAATAGGCCCCAGAGCAGTTGCTTAATCTAGGAGGGAATAAATGTTCATCGTTTTGTGGCCTTCAGATTTCATCAAGTGCCTTTTCATGAAATTCTTAGGTGTGTTTCCCACCCTTACCCCCGTTAGCATTGAGTTAAAGGTTTAGGAAGATTTTCAGAAGGCCTTATATTCTTTCAACCTTAAAGGGTTTGTACCTTGCTTTCTGTGTGTGTGGGTGTGTGTATGAGGTTTTGTTTGTTTTGTTTAATCCCTTTACCTTTTTCACCCAGGCCAGAAACCTCTCCCCCAACCTCCCCCCACAGTCCCCTGCCTGTTGTCTGTAAAGTGTCTGTAGCTTGCTTTCTTAAGAAACTGATATGTGTGAATAGTTTCAGAACTTGCAGCATGTTAGGAAAGTATGACAAACCTTAAATAGCCCACCTGCAAATAGAGATGAAGAATTTGTTTCCTGGAAACCATCTTTCCATGGATAAATCTGGCGGGAAGTAGGATCTCTCATGTACTTCTCTGAACGATCGCCAACCTAAATCCCAAGATGAAGCAGTTTGTAGAACTATTTCTTATTTTCAAAAGATAATTTCACTCCAACTGTTGCTTTACAATCTGTTACATCTTAAGGTTCACGAACAATTGGATCTGGTTAGAGAATATAACTCCTATCTTATTAAGGGAAAGGAAGGAAAATACATTTCTTTTTTAATACCTGCAAGTGT